TTCCAAAGCTGCGGAAACTTTGCGTTTCGGTAAATATCTTACAAATCTCTCAGCAGAGTGCGTGCACTTCTTTGGCAATCTTGATTCATGTTAGTCAAGTGTTTTCCATAAGTTCCTGTGCACGATTGTTATAGTCCCTGGCCAGCACAGCCTTTTGGTGTGTGAAGGTTTGCTTCCCAAAGCTCAATTTCAACTTCATTTACTTCAGCGGACCGGTCAAAGGAGTTCAAGTACAGAATGTGCTGAGTTTCGGTGAATCAACCATCTGCCATGATCATAGTTCATCTTGTCAAGGACGTAGCATCTGCTGTGGTAAGGCAGTTGTTATCATAGGATGTGCGCGAACTCAAGGGTTGGCGCCTGAAGGCATGCCTGGTCTTGTGACAATCACACCGAACGCTTTTCAATACCCGTTCGCGTGAGAGCATTTTGCAGAGTTACATATCATTTAAGTAAGTGCTGGTACATGCAGCAGTCTCACTGTCGACGACTGCTCATGTTGGGCACAGTATTTAGCATTTAGCCTTTGGTCTCACCAAAAATGCCGCTGAGCTTCGGGTACATCTTCATGACGGTTACAAGTCCCAGTGCTTTAGCTCGTTGTCCCGTTCCCAAGGATGCGGCATCAGTGAGGGTATGTGAGGGCAGAGGATGTTCCAAAAGGCTGCTGCCAAGTTGACCTCGGTCCTGGGACTTCCGTGCAAACACTCTTCATGTAAGCTTCCAGTAAGGTCTGCAGTCAAATTATGCTTTCATCCTGAACATCTAGCAGCAGATCTGTCGAAGCTATCACCTTGTGTTAATGCGCCTTGCGAGCGCATCAGCAAAACATGTGGAAAGCCGTCGCTTGAGAGGAGTCCCCCTCTCCGCATATCATTGCATCGTAGCTTCACGCTTGCAGCCTTCAGTGGTTCGAACTGCTGACGTGCATGATTTATCCTGCTATGTAGCAGATCTTCAATAAGCTTTTCTGGACAGGGTTCATCACAACGAAAGCCGGAAGAACAATGCCAGGTGCAAAGTGGAAGCGTAAACCAAAAACTAGCGCACACAGACACATGGCCTTGGATCCGCGGCGAAGGCTTATTCCTATGACTTTCCAGTGCAGTCCCACGAACAGTACGCACCCTTGTCATCGAAGCACCCGACGTCCTGTTAACCAAACAGGAAAGCTGTAACAAAAACAGTCAAGACTCAAAACCTAATGCTGCAAGCCCTGCAAGCACTTTGGAAATTTAGTAGACACTTCCGCCCGTTGGTGACCACGACATGCAGCATCTAAGGAACAAGCCAGCAGTGCTCCAGCAGAGCTCACAGCCCTAGACAACTGTGGACTCGAAGAATTGAAAACTGAGGGTTTAGGAACGACTGGCCCCTATGTACCGTAGAATCCAAGATACTCGAATCCGTACTAGAAGATCCTCCCGAAAAGACGGAGTATTGGCTAGATGGCTTTACACAACCTCAGCATTTGGGTTTCTTGCGCGCAAGAGAAGACGGACATGTAATTTGCCACGCATCTGCTTTCTGTTTTTTAGTGCATACGGCTGGCAGTATCGGAATCGGGTGAGGGTATTTTACTTACCCATAATATCCTAAAACCTAAATAGAAGTATGTTACCCCAATATTTACCCTTTTCTATTGTACTAGTTTCCATTTTCTTTGCATTCTCCCTACCTATGTGACCCTTATATAATCCTCACATATTACAATGTTGCAGACCGTGCCTGTGAGAGACCGGAGAACTGCTTGGGAACTTAGACTGATGGTAATGAAGTCAATACTCAGGGTCTAGGGTTTAGGGTTTAGGGTTTAGGGTTTAGGGCGAATATTCACATGGTGACATTAGGAGAATATTGGGGTATCATAGGGATAATGGAAAAGAAATTGGAAACTACTATAGCAGAAAAGGTTAGATTTTGGGAATAGATAGGGATTATGTAGGGATAATGGAAAAGAAACTGGACACTACTATTCAGGGTTTAGGGTTTAGGATTTTAGGGGTAAGTATAATGATAGTGATAACTGTAGTTGTAAAATTGATTATTATTGTAGTAATCATAACAGTATTTATGGTACCAATACATGTTCCTTCGTCTGTGAAAATCACCGCCTCTCTGCTTCTTAGCCTCACCATCGAGTCACTTCTGTCTGGACTTGTTGCCGTCACCACCCTTGTCATTCACGGTCTTTACTTTATTTCTACCACTCTCTGCCTGTACGTCTGACACCTTAACCTTTAGCCCTTAAACTTGATCATGCGCCTAAACCCTAAACCCTAAACCCTAAACCCTAAACCCTAAACCCTAAACCTGCGCGTAATGGACAGGCCTACCTCTGGCGCGCAGCTGTCACATGGCCTGGGCATGGCGAGGATGCCTGAGAGTCTTTGGAATTGTCACACATTGTTTGGAGGCTTACAGTCTAGGGTTTCACGGTGGTGAATTTACAGGCCTTAAGAACTTAGGGACCAGGTTTTAGGCAGTTGGAAGGTTTGGATCATAAGGGTAAAATTTTGCGACCAAAGAGTCTCCAGTGTCACATGAGAAAGAGCTCTTCTCGAGGGGCAGCTTTGGAGATCGCTCTATGTTATGAGATCCCAAGTCAGCACGATCTTTGCTCATTCTTTGCTCCGCTAGGGGAGTGGGCTTCTTTGGTTTTCCAAGCTTTGGTCACATCATGCGTCGACGAGAGGCCGTCTTCTGCGCCGCGGAGGCGCCCAGTGCCGACCGTGGGCTTCCCAGCTTCTTGCTCCCCGGGACCACGATCCCCCCGTTTCTGTTACATAGAGATTGCCTTTTGCTTGCATGACCTTCTTTTGATGACAACGGTGAGGCTTGCAATGCCGGAGTGGCCAGGCTAGATGGTGCCGGATGGGACGCAAAGGCGCTGGTATCATGCAAGAGACTCCATGCCACCAGACGTCCCGCCACTGCATAGGCTCGCCCCACGGACCAGATGGGCTTGCTCCGGCAGAGCAGCGCACCAAACCTCGTGCGCAAAGCACAGCAGCCACATGACTTTCACATCAACCCCAGGAGTTCGAGTCGCAAAGCTCGCAGGTACCAGGTGTACCGGGTGGATATCCAGGCAGGCTGCTCGCACATATAGAAGCTGTAGACTCAAATCTGGAAGCAACATACCAGCAGAGTGCTGTTTCACGTCGTGTTCCAAACGTCCGGCTCACCTTCATGCAGCAACCTATTCAATGCATCATGTGTGTATTCCAAGATATTGATCATTTGGTCCGGTCCTGCGGGAGGTTACTTCGATCCCTACCAGAGGTTTCCACGGGTGCGTGCCTGAGCTTTGGAGCACCCATTTAAGGCACATCACATTGGGTGTAGCATGTTGTGCATGTTGGGGTATGCAGGGACTGATCGTGATTTGCAACCATGTGCCTCTTGTGAAGCTGTCTCTACCCCGAGGACGCTTAAGTCCCTGCTTCGATCAAAACCCCTTTTCTGCCATCATTTCATGAATTATGTAGAGTAAGAAGTGCTCATTGTTCTCAATAAAGTTGTGTGGTGTTGATTGTAGGGAGCCTTCAACATTTGGAGCGCTGATCGTGCCAAGAAAACTCCATGTAAATCAGTTCTGCTTGCTAGCATGAAGCAGTTCTGTTGCATCGGCCAGGGCTTCCATTGGTCAATTGCATGCCTGTTAGCAGCTACCACGGCCATGATTTGAACGATGACGAGGAGGAGGAGGACGAGGAGGAGGAGGAGGACGACGACCACGAGGACGACGACCAGGACGACTACGATGACTACGAGACGACTACGAGACAACTACGAGACGACTACGAGACAACTACGAGACGACTATGAGACGACTGCGACTAGCACTGTAACGATGCCGAATGACAACTACCACAATGATAATCAGCCATCACCGTGACTATTGTAACCACCGTTTACGACAGCGACGAGGACGGTGACGTTTGTTGAGTATCGCTGGTTAAAACGATGTAGGGAGAGTATGATGGACTCATAAATCTTCAAAGTGCACATACAGCGACAGCAGTTGAGGCGGATGTCAGCCGAAGCCCGGGCATGAGGTGCCCACCAGCTTTGGATTGGCAGATGGGGCTTTGCCAGAACCATCCCTTCTCTTGGGACGAGCTCTGGGAATTACAAAGAGCTTTGCAAATAGGGCTAGTACTCTTATTATGATTAGTATTATCACACTATTAGTACTATTGTTGCTATTTTCACTATTAGGATTATTGCATCTGGAATCAAGCCGAGACCTCATTTGTCCTCAACCCCTGGAATGGGCACGTACTCAATGATTTCGGACATTTTGCATGTCTCCTGACACCGCAAATCCAAAGTGTACATGTTGGGGACCTGCTCAATGCGGGGCTTTGGCAGGAGATCTGCGTCCGCCACAAACTTAAGCTTCACACGGCCGGCCATGCCAGCAGCTCCGCAGCTGCCATCTCAGTATGGTTTAGGATTTAGGGTGTAGGGTTTAGGGTATAGAAGGGGGGGGGTGGGTGCAGGGATGGTGCTTTTTGGCTCATGTTTTGCACGAAGTTTGTGGATTTAAGAGAGATCGTCGCGCGGATTCTGTATGATGAGCACGCCAATGTTTCCTATGCATAGCATGACATACCATCCACGTTGCTACATGTTCCAGACGAGGCAGCAATGGCAATGCTTGGCACAACTAGAACCCAAGCTGGTTGGGGGCGGTGATTTCTTGGAAGACTTGCTGCCTTTTTCTGAACAGCTACATGGGTTTGCTGATTCTGCTCAAGAGGAGGAAAGCCTCGTGGATTTGTAGGGCATGTGGCTCCACAGTGGCAGTTGTGTCGAGTGATGCCTCTGATGCCTGAGCTGCTTGGCCTGGTCAGTGGGGCACGGGTACGAGGAAATGGGTACTCGTAGAAAGCAGGCTTGGATAGGAAGCACTTGGCAAGGAAGCCCGTTGCTTCAGCCTTCGGGCCCCACAAAGAATGTCCTTGAATTCTGAACAAAGTGCAGTTACCTAGGCAGAGGCAGTCAGGCAGCATGGTGCTCCACGTGACACCGACTGCTCTGACGGACTGACTGTCGCACTGGTTGTAATGTTTTTGCGGACCTTAGCTGACATCCATTACAAGAGTATCTGATTTGTAGATAGCCTTTATTCTCAAGGATTACCGTGGCATGTGGCAGGGAAAAATCTCACTGAGTTTTTGCCAAGCCCGGATGTGTTGTTCCTTCGATAATGAAACACATCCTTGCCACAACATATTCAAGACATCTCTTGTTGTGCTTCTTCAGACACAGTGCTTGTTGTTGGCAAGTTCCTGTTTGCTGTAGATTTCACAGTTTGGTTTGGTACACGTAGTTCCAGGCGCAGGGCTCCAAACTCTTACCCAGGACGAAGGGGTAAAGGGCACGTGGGTAGCTAGTTCCGGCCAGTGATGTGGCCTTTCTTCCAGTTCCCTGGATTCTGTTAGCATTCCCTACTACGTCTTAGGAACCAAGGAGTGCTCTGGTGTCTGCTTGATACTGCCAGTCACACTGGGTGCTGATTTTCCTGTAGATATTTGTTTGCTTGCTTTCTGTAGAGCTGTAGGGACCCACAAAGAACGCAGATTTGGGAAGCTCTTCCCACAACCCCTAAAAGGGCGAAAGACTAAACCTCTGAAAATGAGAACCCAAGAATCGGTTCTTGTCAAATATCGACATGTTCATTGCACTACCCAAACGTGAACGACGAAACCCTTCACCCATGCCATTCAATGCAGGAGCCAATGTACATCCATCCCATGACAGCCTACTCGTGGCCTCCCTGCGAATCCCCACCAGGCGCGGTTCCGCTCTGGCTAGGACACAGGTGTTTCTCCAAACCGGAGCCTGCTAAATGACAGCCTGGATGGGAGGGGCAGTAACCAATTAAAGCCACTGTGTTTGTTTGGGTTCTTGCTCCTGGTCTTGAGTGTTGTTCTAGAGTCGATAATTCCGCAAAGTCAGCTGAAGAGGGCGATGTCAGGAGTGCTCGACGATGCCCTCGTGGCTCCCAATCCTGGCAGTCTGGGACACCCAGAGGCCAATCCCGCAAGTCTGTTTTGACTGGCATAGGGTGAAAGGTTGCGGTCAGAATTCCTATAGGATCCCTTGTGACACCTCTAGCAAACCTTTGTTTCTTGAGTTTTCATCAGAATCACCATTTGTGTTGCCCTGTCTCTCTCTCTCTCGCTCTCTCTCTCTCTCTTTTTCCATGTCTTCTCGTGGCTAAGCACACGGCTCAGTCCTGCTAGCTGGGCACTCGCTTCATGGTCTCCCGGCTTGGCATGTTTGTTGCTGATGATCCTGCAGTACGTGGCAAATAGCATTCGGTGCAAGAGTATCAGCCGCTGTGGTGGTTGCCATTCATCGGCATGGAAGTCTTCGACAGGCTTGGGCTTGGTGCTTGGCCATGCACTTCTATTGTGCGTGCCCTGGGCTGCTGCCACTTGGCCAATACCCTGCAGAAGGGTACGATAGGACGACAGGCTAATGTGCCTGCTGGTGATAGCTACACTGGCCAAGACAATGGTGCCATGGCATCTCGGACCTGTGTCAATTTCCTCGCTGTGCAAGCTCCCTGTTGAACGAATGGATCTGGAGACCTGCTGCGCTCGGTTGCCGGTTGGTTCAGGGCCCAAGGCCGGGGCCCCGCTTCCCAATGATTTCGGTGCTGTTTCTCATGGCGTTGGGTGGTGTGAGGGTTGGTGTCAGCCATTACTCGCACCAGGGAGTTCCGTGGTGCCTTGCTATTGCTTGGCTCCTATTGTCCAGCACACTGTCGTGGCTTGACACGTTTCAGCTTGGCATCTTTCGGTGTTTTTTGTGCGTTCAACAAGGCTTGCGCTGCATGAACGGGCGTGCTAGTTGTCCTGCAGAGTTTCCATCTTTGTGAATGTGGCGACTTTTGCTCTGGATCGCTCGCTCCTGCTCGAGTAGGCTTCGATGGCAGTGCTGAAAAGACGGGGTGACATGTCGATGGGGCAATTTACAGGTTGCGACATGTTACTGCGTGGCCTATCTGCTGTGGAGGTCCATTGCTGTTTACTTGCAGGATTGCTGGCTGAACGTGCAAAAAAAGTCTTTTCCCCTCTTTGTTTCTATCTTTGTCCCTGTCCTGTGTCTCCCTGTCTCTGTTGCCCGCCGCTTGCTCACTTGCTCTCTTGCTCGCTGTCTCTGCCTTTCAGCGCTCAGTCCTTCGCGTGCAGGTCCATGGCACAATTTGTGGTTTTTCGAATCTATCACGGAATCAAATGATGTCTTGGAGTCCTTGGACAGCCAGAGCTGGCGGGGAGATTGATTCCGTTGAAGGGGTTGCAATAAAGAATGGACGAGGCAGGAAAAAAATAGATGTCAGAAAGGGTTTCTCATTCTCGAAAACAACGAGCACAAGGAGATGTGAATGTGTTTGGACCTACATTTTGCCTCGTTGATGTTCTGTCAGCTTGAAGGTCTGTCGCCGGCCGCACCTTGTCAGCAGGGTTGCGATCGTAGCACGTGTCAACAACGATGCGTGCATTTCATGAAGGCCTCAAATTGCGACCCAAATCCTAGGTGTATCTACTTCGCCGCTTCTTGGTGGCATATCCAGCAACACTTGAGGGGAGCTCCTCTCACATGCATTAAGTTCGTGTGCTCTCGCACATAGCCCAGATCAGTCATAACATAATCCACGAAGGATTCCGCCTGCACCAGCGGGGACAAGTGTGGCTATTGCCACCTACCGCATACACAGCGGCCTGCACATCTGGACAAGCGGCAGAGGCTTGCCATTCTTCAGCGTTCTTGAAAGCACAACAATATGCCCCAGCAAGGGAACTGATGAAGTCGCTGAACAACGGCGAACTCATGACAGTGTTGCTGAGGTGAGGTGCTGTTAGCCTGGTGTATGCTCTGCTGTGAGTTTGTGAGTGCTCCTGGTTACATTCACCGGCTGCGCTGGAATTCGAGGCATTTGCGACTGAAAGCCGCAGAGAAGGTCGGGGCTCATGCATCTCCTTCATGGTGTGTCATGACAGTGGGCCCCACAGGGCTTCCTCCCATTGGCTTCGGAATTGCTGGCCATCCTGGAGCGACACGCGGTGGCGTGCGCTGCACAATTGCCAACAAAGGTGCAGAGCAAGTTTCTTGCTTGCAGCAGTGTATCAGAGTGTCTGTAATTGCCATCCCGCTGCCCGCAGTGCGGGAGTGAGTGTAGGCCCCTGTTTCACAATATGAGATTCCATTTTAGCTGCTGGCATCTAAGGCTGGACGCCCTTCTGCCGCTCGGCAGGTCTGTGAGCAGTGGGCGTGTGCAAATTGAAAAAACTGCGCAGCCGTAGTGGAAGATGGGCAAAGTGGCAAGTTGCCAAGAGAAGCACTTTGCAGCGACCTACGGAAGGAACCACTGCTATTGCAACCCGTCAACGGCTGCCTTCTACCAATGTTTGGAGCTTCAAGCGGTGTCAGACTGTTCACATAATTGTTTTTCAACTAGTGTTATACTAGTCAGAAGTTTGATGAGAGATCCATCGTTAGGGCCCCTTCACGTTATCCCCCAAAGCCATTTCATAAATCCAGTTTTCCTTTCGTTTTTCATTTCTTTGCAATATGGTTGTCTATTCTTGGGGTTACATCTCAAAATCGGAAACCCCAAGCCTGAAATTGTAGTTTCCAGATCCTTTTCCATTCCTGTATATCCTTACATCACCCCTATCTACTATCTACTGCTTATATTGCCCCCACATTTTTCTCAAACAATAGTGCCTCAAACAATTTTAGGAGACCCTCATATCTAGCTGGCCTTGGGGTAACATGCCTGTACCCTAAACCCCAAACCCTCAATAATCCCCTCCCCCTTGTGTTAAACATCCCCCACCACTCCTAATATTAAATACTCCCATAATGTGGTATATCATATGATATTGGGAGTATTTGATATTACGGGGGGCCGGGGAGGTTTTAATATTAGGGGGAGGCCCAGCAGAGACCAGGAAAAAGATGACATTTGCCGCTCTCATTGGGATGGCACTCCGGCGTAAGGCCAGGTGAACACCAAAATTCGAAAGTTGCTATAGCTTTTGACAAAGGTCATACAGGGATTACGTCCCAGCATCAGCACCCAATTGATGGAATCTAGACTTCAGGGTTGCTTCAGTTACAGCAGTATTTGGTCGTTTTCATGTTCTTACATCCTGTGGGCATAGGTAAAATGCACAGAGCATGATCCTATGGATCCCTTCAAGCACGCCCAGCCATCAGAACAAAGAAAGAGTAGAAGGAATGATGGCAGAGCGAGCTCACTCACAGCGTAACATGTTCATGTTGGTGCAGTTCTGCTTAAGTAGATAGAATATGGNNTATCAGAATAAGATCCCCATGTACCACATTTGATCTACTCACGGGGGACCATAACTCTTCAAGTCTCGGGGGCAGCGCAGACTCGAGATATTATCAGCTCCATCGGCGGTGTCGGTCCATATTCAGTCATTCAACCTTGGAAGCGAAGGCCCAAACCCATTGATCCCTCATGAAAGTTCTGTTGGGAGATGTGGGGTTGCTATAGGAGGCCAACTATTTAATGAATGATTCATTAATTGAGGCCTTCGGCCTTCAAGAAATACGTTAATTGATAACTGAGATGTATCAAGTAATTAGGCAATGATAACGGTCACGCCCACTCTCTCAGTAGTATGTGTCGCGCCTCTTTACAGCCTCCCCAGAGCCTCCACGCGCGACTCGGCCCGCCGCCACGCCCTTTCTCTTTGCCTCTAAAGTAGTCCGTTTTGCAGCTGTCCACACCTCCCCAGACCNNCCCCCCCCCCCCCACACACGACTTGGGGCATGAAAAATTAAGTCATCACTAATTGCTGACTAAGACGAATAAACAGATTAATTAATTAACTATTTCGAAGTGAAAATGATGAAATGAGAGTAAATGAAGTCGAGTGCCATGATCCGGTTTTTGTCAGGTGTCTCAAATGCTGTGAATCTTTCTCTGGTCTGGCCGCGAAGTCAAGCACGCGCATTGTGGGAAACTAGGTTTCCTATTCGAAAGTTGCTTGTAAAGATTTTAGCCTGATAGCCGCTGAAGAAGGGACGCCGGAAGAGTTGGCCGTTGTGCCTCAGAAGCACAAATTAGATCAAGTATGATTTCAGCATGATGGCCAGGACGTGGATCCAGGTTTCGTGCAGCAGGTGAATGAGGCAGCGTCGTGTGAGTCTGTTGAACTCGCAACTAAAGTCACTTATGCAAAGCAGCAGGCGCTGTCTGACCTTCGGAGTGTTCTGGTATCGGAGAGTTGGAGTGGCTGCCAGTGAGGCAACAGCAGGAGTTGGGCCACTCCTAGTGGATTTGTTTTAATGTACGCATAGTCTGTCCAGGCTTGAAGGCTTGGCTGTTTAAGAAGAAAATGCCACAAAGGGGAAACAGCTCCCTTGGCAACTGGTTCGGTGAAGTACGGTGAAGTTTGGTAATGCCATTGCTGGCAGAAAATCTGCCCAGTTCCTGAGGAGGCAGCTCAGTGCGTTAGCTGACTCTGTGACAGCTCTCCACCGGAGAGGTTTATAGATGGGTCTGTACCAAATTTGGGGTTGTTTTTTTGCCCAGAGCGCTGGATCTTCGAAATCAAAACAGCCCCATGGCACATTCCCAGATAGCACTCTTTGAAGAATGAGCCGCGATTGCAAGAAGCAGCTGCGAATGGCTCAATGTATAGAAGATCTACTCACCTTAATGGTCCTTAGTAGGGAATANNTTCCCTCATTCCCTACTAGGAACCGATAAGTCACAGGAGCTTTGAGGATGATCGCGTGTGTTTGTAAGATGATGGTGTTGCTCAGGCATGTGTGCTCTGAATGCCAAGGATCCCGTCGTCCAGTGATCGTACTGTTCATAACACTGGTATGCATTACGACCATAGTCGGACTGGGACTAGCAAAATTTGCAACTCAACTTCAGAAGCTACTGAGAGCGTTTGTTGCGAGGTGTACTCTAGAGCGAGAGTTTTTCAATTTTGTGGTCCATCCGGGAACTTATACTTGGTAATGGAGCCTGCCAGTTTTCGCCATTCAAATGAAGCAAACTGGAGAAACTGTTGTGGATCTTTTTGCTTCAGAACGTGTATTCAGAACAACACCAATTCATCTACGCCTGACACGTTCTAGAATAGCTGCGCTCCGTCAACTGGTCGTTGTCAGTGGCCGTCCTGCGACAACTTGACATGAAGTAGGAACATATCGCAGGCCGTCATTTGCGTAATCAAGGCGATGTGCTGAGACTATAGAGAACACAGCCTAGTTGCCCCACAACTGCCCAAAGCGAAGCCGTGAGAGTGCAGCTGGATGGGAACCTTTCAGGCGAGCAGGTCGACTTGCCGCTCATAGCGCGCGGGTGGACTGCTTCTATGCAACAATTTGTGTGGTTACGCTCCGACAATCGAGGGGTGCGTTGCAGTCTCTCGAAGCTGTGGGGCCGAAAGGAGTTAAAAAAGGAGGTGGAGGCTTTGCAGCCCCCAGCATTGGCCCTGGGCTTATCTTAGTGGGTTCTAGGGGCCATGATGTTGCGTACAAGGTATAGACCCTGACTGCGTAAGGCCCGAGGGGTAAGGGCCCATGTCAGGGGCCTACAGTGTGGTCTTGATTAAGAGGGGGGGCTGTCCAAATCCTACGTGATCCTAAGCCCCAGACGTGAACTTACTGGTTGTTAGCGGCGAACGGAGGAATCGATCCCAGTAGTAGTCCCTATGTTGCCGTTTCATTCAACACTGAATACTAAAGGCGTGCTGCCTCGGTCTGGCTCGAGGTGGGTTGGCGAGGCCGAAAGCTGAAAATGAGAAACCCAAACCTTGAACTTCGCGGGGTTTTTGGAAATCGGATCCTAGTAACCCTGGGACAGCAGCGCAGCCTGCTGGGAGGAGGTGGAGGGGAGGCGAGGTGCGAAGTGAAGAAAGGCAAAGAGGGGCCATTTTGCATTCTTGAAGTGGCATAGACACAGAAGCCCATAGAGCGGCTCTCACGGGTCTTCGTTGGGCATTGCCATTGCTTTCCCTTCGGCTCATTCATGAGTTTGTCTGCTCGTCAATAATGTCATCCGCAATACGGGAAGCGGGGGAAGGGAGGCGTGTGGGTGCTGGGGAGGCGAGAAAGGTTTGTGCCAGCACAGCCAACGGTAATTACAGAAGCAGCACTAAACGAAAATTGAAATGAAGATGTAAAATGATAAGGTTGAGGCACCAGGCACTAAACAAGGCAAGTCAGACTGCAAAAGCTCTGCAAATAGCATGTCATCAACACTATCACCCTTGACTGGTTGATGGCTCAAGCTCTGGAGTATTGCTTTCCGGTTCACACTGAGTTTTTCAGGACGGGGAGGAAGGGGAGATTGGGGTGAGAAAGCGTGCAGGCGTGGGGAGGCGTGGGGGGAAGGGAGGGAGCGGGGGGGTGTTGTGCCTGGGAGTGCACTGGCATGACCAGAGCTTGCCACAGCTCTACATCTAAAAACGGCTCGAGCTAGCAATGCAGGTGACGTGGGTAGAGTGTTTCCCCTCAGATGCTTAAGGCCGGATGCCTCGGCGGATATAGTAGTTTCAATTGTCATTTC